CACCCTGGTTTTTAGTTACAAATGTTCGTCTCATTATATACACGTGTTCTAACCAACCGTACCCTCCCTCACAGTAATAAACTTACTAAAATCAACCAAGGCTTAAGACCTCAGATGTTGAAGCCATAACTCAATAAAAAAAATGTACACATATATATTTAGAATAATAACGTACATGTATGATGAATATAACCACACATTACTCATTAGATATTTTATCTTTCACTTTCAATATAATTGTTGATTTTACGAAGAAAAATACGACTGTTAAATAAAACATATAATCATAATTATTCGCGTATAGTGTCGAATAAAATAACTATTTTCGTTCAAATTTTATCACAAATGACAAATGTATTAATTTTTTTTTTATATATACGTATGTTTAATGTAGGCATATAGAATGTTACAATAATTATCAGAACAATATGAAATTTAAGCACGTTGCGGACTATCTATATTAAGTCGAATGCGCGTATTGAAAGATACTTATTATTATTAGCATACAAATATTATATGATTAGAAGTATTTTAGATCGGTGATCGAAAAAATGTTAGTCAAATATAATTTTATTGAGCTCCGTCGGACGAAAATATGTGTCCTTGACGGCTTGACACTTGGCACAAAAGTCATAAAAAAATAAACACCTGACTTTCTTTGGCTGTCGTTTAGAAACTCGTCACATAACAATAACAATAATGACTTCCAGTATAATATTATATAATATATCACCCGGTTGTAAAAATGATGCGAAATTTTTGACTTGCAAAATAATATTCAATTTCAACGAGATTTCATTGTAACGAGCTTATAATATAAGCTATATATATTATGTGAAAAATAAAAAAAATAAGATTTATATTATCATATTATTATTATTTATTAATTATTACGTTATCGTGGAAATTAGTATCATAATTATTAATGAAATAATTTGTATATTTCGTAGGCTTAAGTATGATTAATTATTTAGTATGTACTCTAACTTGATATTTTAATCGGTTGAGATTAAAGCGCATATTATAAAGCAAATACGTATTTGTATATAATATTATAATATACGTATAGCTGTTAACAACTCTATTGTTAAAATTTCAATTAAAATACTTTTATTCTATGCGCGGAGTCGTGGAAAACCGTTTTGGTGATACTAATTAAAACACGGTTTGTGTTGAGGACTACGGGTAATTAATTTACTTAGTATATTATATTATATACTATAATAGTGAAACGTTCGTGTTCATTATTTCATCAGATAAATAAGTAATTTAAAATTATACAACAAATAATTATTATTATATTATTATTATCTTAAATTAGATCATTACGACTGAGAATATTATATTATAAGAATCTTTTACTGTGGTTTATTTCAATAGTGTTATATAAAATGATATTGTGGTAAAACTTTAAAGCACTACAATTTTGCAGTTTTTTTTATACGTTATACCTACCTACCTGTTATAATAATATTTTATTTATGATTATTTAATAAATATTTTCTTTTAGAAATTAGCTGACACGACGGTGAGAATTGAATTTTTCAACATATTTTAATCAGCGGAAAAAGACCACAAATCATGACTACAGCGCGTTTTCAACAATTCGGTGCGTTTCTACATCTATTACAGTTACTAGTACTGTACACATTTTGTGCTAAGGATAATATGGTTTATAATAGGGAAGAAGGATATACTTATATACAGTATACGTTCTTATTTAAAGTCTATTCACAAAATATAAAATAATTCGTCATTTTATACTTATTTAGTCGAACACTTAGGTAAATAGCAAGTAAAATCATTGTTGATTTATTTAGTTATTTTTCTTATTCAATGTGTAGAACTATATAAGCATATCCCTATATTATAGACTATTATCCTTAGTACAAATTTTCCAATAGCTAGGAAACCACTCGTTGGAATTTTGATTTCGATCCATCAAAATTCTCAAAAGAATTATCTGCTAAATGATTTAAAGAAAAAAAAGTGGGGTTCTCATTTGAAAAACAAAGGTTCGTATAGCCACAGGACACTCCTTAAGTGGCACAAAAAATCTCAAGAATATGAAAATATGGTCTTTGAGTATATTTAAAGATTCCAAAAATCAGATTTTGAAAAACTTCATTATTAAAGAAAAAAGGGGGGAGCATACTTGTTGGATCACCCTGTATACTATGTATTTTAGTTTATGTAATCTCCCCGTAATTATATGAATTCTGAGTGGGTGACATTGTTCTAAATAATTTAAATTACTTATAATATTACAGAGGCCGGGGTGCATAATTCAAATTCGAACACATAATTTCGAAAAGTGTATACATTTTAGAAAATATTATTTTTACATAATTTCAAGTTATTCAAAACAATTTTATCATCAAAATAACGTCGTTAACATAATCAAATTGTAATTGTGGTTTTTCCCAAAAATTTTAAAAATTCTTTATAGATAACGAGTGACTGCCATCGTACTCCGCAGGTGTGTGTTTTTATCACTAAAAATGCGGATGTCCTTTTTCGAGTACATACCAGTCCGCGGCCCCCTCATATATAATATCGTTATACAAGCGCTTTCGTAACCAATTGTTAGTGTCACTTATCGCAGTATATTCGTGTATTTATATATATATATATATAATACACATAAATACTGTGACTGAGGGGCGAACATTGAATTATTATTGGCGTCGTGTCAATAATGTCATTAGCGAGGGAAAAAAATATATACTCTCTCGCGGCGCTCGAAGGCAGCGGAAACGGGACGAAGGGGATGATAAAAGCTTCGCGGAAAAACGGCTGCGAGCGCGAAGTGACTCGACTATAGAACTTGACGGTTTCCAAAAGGGGAAAAAATAACATTTTTTTTTGTATTTATTTATTTATTTATTTATTTATTTTTTTTTTTTTGGCTACATTTCTGTGTGTTCCATGCACGTGTGATCGGGGTAGGGGGCCAGCCAGTGGCCGAGGTGGTGGTGGGGGAGGGTTTCTTGTCAGAAACGTGCCAAAAATAAACAAAGTACAACCAACCCGCCCGACCGTGAACGCGTTTAAGGTAATAGGAAACAAACGAAAAAAAAACAACAATAAAAACAATCTCAATACAATTCCGTTACCTCTGGATATCGGCACGCACACGGGCACACACACACACACACTCGCTGCACACGGGCACATCGTTCCGCGAAAAACTGTATCCGTTTTCCTGACCCATAAAAGAATCGAGGTGACTGCTTGTGTCGTTAGATCGTTACATTCGATAGGTACATCTTATGGCTTACTAGCTCCGTCAGCAAATCGCTGAGAGTGAGTATCGATTCCGGAGACAAAGTCGTCAGAATAATATAAGAAATGCATGTTACTTTTTAGTCGCACGACGCACGTTGATGGTCAACTAAAACTCTAAAGTTTTAGGAATTGATAAGAATTATAATTTGGTGTAAAGGGTTGTAGTGTACTGCTTACATCATATACTATGGATGTAGCCACAGCGTATCATTTTGTTGCCGATATTAGCGAAGAGTCTCTGATTAAAGTGTTTGATGTGGGTATGCGTGATGCAACTCCTCGCATAATTATCCATAGGTTTATTTCAAAAAATAATTCTATATCTTTACATCTAAGTTAGTGGTTTATACTCATATTATTATTATAGTTAGTATTATAGTGCATTTAATATTATAATTTTTAGTTATTTGCTATCAAAATTCAAAACACAATTTGGTGATTTGATTTTTATCAATTTGCAAGACCTTGAGTCACTCATGCGCATGTATGGAACACCTAATTCGGTAACTAATCTCTAATGTCAGCAGCAATTTCTTGTATTGATTTAATAAACTGTGACTCCATTCATAGTATTACCTGATCTAAGGACAGCCAACTTGCTAATAAGGATTTGTGATAAGGTTTGGCACTTTGGCTCATTTCGAAGGCAGGAATGTTTGAATGTCTTCAGTCATTTGAACCATTTAAAATTGAAATCAGTAATAACGGACTAAGAAACAACCATGAAGACTAGAATTATAATCTTCAAGGATACAACTAAAATATATCTTAGTCTATGTTAGTTTACTAATAGCGGGAACAATCGACTGATTTCGATAATTGACAAGTGAGTCATCGATAAGTTAAGTTCTAACAATCGAGTGTTTCACTCGTAAAATTATAAGAATTATAATAGAATTTGCACTTACGTCTCACACAATCACCCGACATAGAAAAATCATTCACTCTTTTTAGCAACCAACTGGACAAACTAAACTTACCAAAAGCTTAAAATGAATAATAATGTTATAAAACTTATAAAACATTATATTATTACTTGTATATCTAGCATGTATTGTATTGTTATATCAGTAACTGGACGTATATTGGATAGCACGGTCAAGGGGGGGACGATGTACCAAGCAGCCATTCAAGCCAACGAGATTGGAGTATTTGTTACGAAGCTCCAAGGAGGAAAAAAAATGTACACAAGTGTACCAGTTATCCAGCAGCACAGTTACTGACAGTGCGATGCCCAGGTGGCCACTTGCTCGTTTCGCTGAGCTCGGACAAAAAAAATAAAATAACTGTTGAACTGCTACGCGTCAAGTCGGTCACAGCGTAGAAGCGACACTCGATCAGCTGATCAAGTTCTTGTTTACATATGGTCTGGAGTCTGAACCTAGGAAACGAGTCCGTACTCCGTACACCAACATGACATTAGGCCCTTGTGTAAGTGTAGTCGGGAAATCTGTCCCGGCCCCTGTCATACCCACGGATATAGATACTATGGTTGCACAACGAGCACGGATATGACGGCTCTGAATGTTCTTATCAAGAATTTAAAAAAGTCGCGTGATACTAGCGCCCTCTATGACCTGGTATATCATATACCCGCGATTATATAAATTATAAATATGTTTGTAAAGTTATGGTTTTATTACTCTATGAGTTATGGTAACATGGTATAAGAGTTCTTACTGTAGAGGGCGCTAGTAAAACGCGACTTTTCGTCAGATTTGATAAGAACATTCGGCGCCGCTCAACGCGGCTGTGATCCAATATAGGCCGACGTGCAACCATAGTATCTATATCCGTGGTCATACCCCTGGTTACATGGTAATCACCGTATGACCACTTATTTCCTCATGACATTTCGGGACAAGTGTGCGAAGCCCCAGGCTAACAGAGGTTGGCAACGCTGCATCAAAAATGATAACATCACATAACCACATGTCCACAATGCCATCGTGTCTCGTGCACGGTTTTGTTGATAATGGACAGGTTATTGTTTCACTTTCTTATAAAATAGTCGTTATTCTCAGTCGTATCTCTTCATTTTTGGCTGTGCGGCATGGGCACTGTTCCTGTGGTTGTTAATGCCTTCACAGTGACTTTCAAGTATTCATTCACATATTATTATTATGTCTGATTTGATGTATAACCAATACGTGCATAATTTTTGTAATTATTTTCAGATTTTGTTATAGTTAGAGATTAAATATTCAAAATAATAGCTATCATGAGTCTTTGTAATTTGTTGAGGGTTCCATTCTTATTCGTTATGGATGAACTCTTCAAAACGACTTTCGGGTTTCATGATTTAGCTGATAAAATATTTCCAGTAAATAATGGCCTTGTAAATAACACACTCACTCAAATTGAGATCGACGAGTCCGCTCAACACTATTACACGGCTATATTTCTATCAGTCATCAGAATAATAATATCCTGCTTGAGTAAGTTGAATAAATTTTCAAAGGAAAATAATACAACATTATCAGTTAGGTAATTCAATTTTATTTTTTCAGTATTTTATTCATCAATATTTTTATTTGTTCTACCTGCCAGATACTTATACCTAGTGTACTTGCATTTTGTTTCTTTCTGCATTGTATATTTTTCTTATTGGGCAAACATACAAACACCGAAAGATGTTTACGGAAAATATGAAAACTTTAAAACTGACATGTTTAATAAAGATATAACATGGGATGTCGATGGATTTTTATATCTTTTTACAGGATTACAAGTTACATATTCCTTATACTTTTTATTCTGCAATTTAATTTTACAGTGTTGTCTAGCACTAGTATTTGAGTGTTTACAAGACTTTACTACAAATCAATTTACTACAAACCAATCAATTCATAAAGTAAATACATATACAATTTATTTAACTTTCATCTGAATAAAAATAATGTATTAAATATTTCAGCTTTTTAGCTTTAGCTTTATCATTCCTACTTTAATCTTATTTTTACCAGTAACATGGAGACCTGGATTTTTAAATAAAGTAACATTGTTATCAACATTATTGCCAATATTTTGTGCATTGAAAACATTATGGTTGAACCTATTAACAATTGCAAATTTAATTTGTAATAGATATGACCGTGCATTACAGACAACCAAGTAAGTACATTTTACATTTATTATTGCTTTTACTAGTTAATTATATTATTATGGTTATTTATATGCACCAACTAAGTAGCAAATATTAAGCTTAATCTTAATATTTTATGTAAGTTATGTATATTGAATACTTGCCTATTATAGTATTATTTGATATTATTATGTATATTTCGTTCTTGTAGTTATTATGAAATGTTTGTTCGGGTTGAAGTGGATCTGAATAGTCTCAAAATTCCAATTGTTCTGAGATTGTTTTGGGCCGTACAAGTAATAGTACAAATTCTATACCTGTTATCTGATATGGAAGTACTAAATGAAACTTTGTTTGAAGCCGTGAAATATTTGTTAATTAAAGGATCCAACTCAATTATAGTAGTTTTAGGAATGACAAGTATTGCATCATACGTTTGTTGTTCTATTGGATCATTCTTTCAATGGGTAAAATGCTGAACATGCATTTAAATATTTAGATGTTTTTAACAGTTTATTTTTTTAGGTGCTGATAACTGATGATGATGATGGTGAAAATATTGAAACAATGTCTTCATGTCTGTTTTTTGTACTAGCTATCCATAATGTAGTGACAAATTTAGATCAAGAAGAGCGCTTAATAAGACTCTATTATGGTATTTATTTACTCTGTGCTGCCATACTATATCACATCCATAAAAAAGTTAATTCAGTATTAACATATTTGTCTAGTTGTAAAACTTCACCACTTAACAGGTAATATATAAATCATTATCAAAAATGTTTTAAAATTTATTTGATTTGATGTTTTAGACATTTAAGAGCTCTTTTAGTTTGTGGATTTCTTATAGTGTTTCCAATCACTATTTTGACATACTTGTGGTCTCAACATTCAGTTAGCCCTTGGCTACTAGCAGTTTCTTCTTTTTATATTAAAATTATTATAAAAGTATTAGTATCATTAGCTGTCTATTCATTATTCTTAATTGATGAATATTGCACAAAATCTTGGGAGAAATTTGATGATTATGTGTACAATATAAAATCATTTGGCACTACGGTAATTTTAGAAATCCTTAACATTTATTTCTTAATATTATGGTTACATTTTGTTCTTAATATTATGGTTATATTTTTTATTTTAGGTGGAATTATATTTTGGCATCTTTTTTTTTCTGAATAATGTTTATAATGTTACTTTATTGCCTGATGGTTCAATCTATGCATTAGTGATATCGTTTATACAAATGTGCTTACATATGTATGTATACATACGGTTTATTGGTATAAATGATTGGAAAGAGTTTATTAAACACCGTACAGCTGAGAAAATCATTAAATCTTTATCAGATGCAACTACTATTCAATTGTCTGAATTGAATGATATCTGTGCTATATGTATTCAAAATATGGTATCAGCAAAAATTACACAATGCAACCATTATTTCCACGCTGCATGTCTGCGTAAATTGCTCTACAAAAGTGATCAGGTGAGTAATTGTTTAATGATTTTTATTTAAATTAAAATAATTTGATCTTAAATTATTACATTAATATGACATATACTAAAACACTGGGAAAAAATCGATTGTGATATAATAAATAAAAATATGTTTACATAGGACAATATTTAGTGAATACTTGTGAAGGTATTCAGATGCATTTGACTACTTAAGATATTCATTAATCTTTTTACTCAAGTACTCTTCACAATAATCCCTAGTATAAAGTTCTAGTTTATTTGTTACTAATTTGATTCTTATAGCAATAATTATTCTTTGATGTAAAAAAAGTTATAAATGCACTTATCTTATTTTAATTTTTTTTTTTTTTTAGACCACTGTGCCATTTTGCCCATTGTGTCAAAATACTATATTCATCGCAGAAACATAAAATGTCCAGACACAAGAATTTTAAGATTACCTTGTGTATAATTGTGTTCTAATTTTTGTTTACTTCATTATCTCTACATATCCATTAAACAATTTTAATTTAATATGTACTTATCTTTTATTGTATTTGTAACTATTTATTTAAACTTTCAATATTAATAAATATTATCGAAGATTCACTTCTCGCCACAAGCTTCCTTACAGAATAGGGTAATCAACTTGACATGTAAGAAACTTAACTAATTATACTTATATTTGTGCTACATTATACACTATTATACCTATAAATTGACTTGAAATAAATTGTTTATTACTAAGGGAAACCTTAATTGTATACAACATTTGTTATTATTATGTATCACATACTATCCTAGATACAATATCATAATTTATAATATTCATCCAATTAATTTGTATACAATTATTATATATTTATAACATGTGTATGTAAATAATAATACATGTATCATAATCAAAACAATAAATTTGTGATAATTTACATATCCTGATATTCGTGATGATTGATAAGTCTGACAACCAAATAAGTGAGGTGCTATTAATATATTTCGAGTTTTATATTTCATAATATAAATCTATTGACTATGAACTAACTGTAAACCAATTTTTATATACACATAACATATACAAATAATAAAAATTTCTTACTTGTAAATATCAATGAAAGTAAATATATTATACAGGCATGTACTTACATGACAGTATATATATATTTTTTAAATTAGTTATTTTAATTTTAATTTCTATGATTATCTGTAATTTAACTAGATGAAATATTTTTATCTTATATCTTTTTGTAAGATGGATTTGATTTGTTTATATTTCATCTGCATCTTAGATACAATTTAGTGTTACCTATCTTTATCCAGATGACTTTTTTGTCATCTGTTCCTAACAATGTTTAAGTATAACTCGTGACTTTAAATTTGATTTAATTATCAATTGTAATCAATTTGATAAATATTAAGCCTTTTTTAGAATTTTAAATTGAAAACTGGTTAAAAATTTTTTTTATTACTCAATTGATTACCTATAGTGCGTTGTACGGATGTTACATATTTTGCTTTATACACCTTATGGCTTATATTATTATTATTATTATATGTATTTGAATATGTACTCGCGTTTGTGAGTGTGTATTTTATATACATATCCGAAATCGAAGTATATCTATATATTAACACGGTCTCACAATTATAATAATACACTATCAGATTTATGTATACCTAATAATATTATATACATTAATTCAAATTATTCCGTTTAGTTCATGGTTTAGTTGACTCGTTTCGTGTGTACAAACGGCTTGCGTTTGCCGCACAGCAGTTTGTTGTTTACTCTCCTCCGCGTGGCATAATATTGAATGATATGAAATTAATATTATTATCATTATTATTATTTTTTTTTTTTATCTTGTTAAAGCTTCAAAAACTTAATGTGTTATTAGCTACGAGAATATATATATATATTTTATTCATGGTACAGCATCAATTACTTGGTTATATCAGCTCACAACACAAGAAATTCTAGAAACGCGATGTTTATGTAGATGTTGATTGAGCTAAGCCGCTAAGGGCTTCGAAAGATATATTTTATACTACCTACGCTGTACATTTGAATGCATTGGCTTTCTTAAATTGAATTATATATATATATATATATATATTAATTATTATCATTATGTTCGAGAAATAAAATGATTTTGTTGTTGCTTTGTCTTTAATATTGTGCTCGGGATATCGATGTATTTAGAAGGGTGAGTGGGAACCATCGCCCCTGAAGATTTTTTAATGGAACTTAGGGGCGACAGCATTTTTTCATCCGTTTTCATTCATCAACCAAGAAATCAAATATTTTAGGCTTTTAAATAGCGTATATACAGCGTTATTTTATTTTATTATATGGGAACATTATGAAATGTTGACCATGTCAAATTCATGAATAATGATTATTACCTATTAGGTAAAATCGTATAAAACGTATTTCAACGATAATGGCTTACGTCGTCGTTATGGTTCCGATGACAATTTTATTATTTTGGTTTTTAAGTGTAATTTGAATCATAAAATCGCTAAAGTATGTTTCATGTGAAATATTATACAAGACTTCTGCGAGAAGAAATCTAGACGTATATTATGATGGTATCTTATGTGCATAAAATGTATGTTCAGATTTCCAATAATTTTTTTATATATATTACTTTCTTTTGGCTGGGGTGTTCAAGGGTGGAATTTATACCTTTGGCGTCAAAATTCTAAATTCTCTAGCTTAGAGCTTCGACGAGTTTTATTGTTATTATCGCTTAGCAAATCGACTACGATATTGTTAAATTCTTAATTTATATTTTATTATATATGTGTTGATTTTTTTTTGTACTGTTTTCACGATTTTGCTAAATGCCATCCGTTTTGAGCTATGAACATAGTCTATGTACATTATAATATATATTATAGTAAATAGGTATAAGTTTTAACATATTATATAATACTAGCAGACCCGGCAATGCCTTGCTATAGCTAGATTTCAGTACATTTATATATGTTTAGGAATATGTGAAAAGTTTGATATGAATTATATCAGATATTTAATTTGATTAATTTTTTTAGTATAATTTTATATATAAGTGTAAAATATATTTGTTTCGTTATGAAGTATGATTTTTATTTTTTTGTCAATTATATAAATTTGTCTTCGCCTCCTCTTCGTCTAAAACAGTGTCAACGAAATAGTGCACTTTTGTTGGTGCATTTAATTTTAACAGTATCATGTAATTTATTTTATTGACTTGATCGTTAGTTGGTGACAATATTGCCCTTTCTTGAAACCAACTTGACGTTTTAGTCGAAATATTAGATAAATCTGGATAAACATTTTCAATTAGGTCCAACAAATTAGACATCAAAAAACATACGAACAGCAGTTCCCCACACCATGCGCATCGACAACGATAATTAATGTGTTATCTGTATACTGAAATAACTCAGTTATTGTGTTTCTACAAACAAAACTAAGATTACGCCATATAATCGATGTAATAATCACGTTGAGTGAAAATTAATAGCTAAGTAAAAAGCGGAAAAACATTGCGAAAAATAAGTGTCTGACACCGTGGTTCGAACTCGAGACAATGTCTTTTGAAATCTTATAAAATCGCAAGAGAAATCTATGCACGGGGCGATAATTGTATGCTATTTAAGTGTATACGGATGTATGGGTGTTTGGCACAAATAATTTTTTTAATTTATTAATCAAGCTTTTATAATCAAGTTATACGAATAAATTGTATATTAAAACCTTCCTTGAATCTAGACCTTTTGATTAATGAAAACTGTACTAAAATCCGTTGGGTACTTTTTGAGTTATGCACGTACATATAAAAAAGAGGGTTCTATTTTATATAGTAGTGTGATGAGTATTTTATTGCTATATAGATTGCTCTAACTTACATTATATTATCGACAAGACGAAAAAAAGTTAGAAACATTAATTCACCTATCTGAAGTATTGTATATGTATAGAAACATTAGAAACAATACAAATATAATAACAAAATCTAAGACTATTCTACGTACAGCAGGATATTATAAAATATTATAAAGGTATATTGTAAAAGGTATTTATAAAATATAATATTGCAATAATATATTATTATATTTTATGACCGAGTAGGATTTCATAAAAATATGTCTATAACAATATAATATTCAATTACACAATTATACTTAAATATTGTGTCATTACTCATTACGGATTTGTGCGTTTACACATTACCTGCAGCATGAATCTACAGGTGTTTTTGGTTAGTCAATTTTTTTTTTTAATTGTGGATAACCGTCAACGTTTATTTCATTTTTCGGAACGCGTATTATGGTATAGGCACCTGCTATACCTATGTGTATATTCTAGTACAATATTTAATATTTCAATGGTCTACGCGTAACTGATAAACTATTATACTGTTCCATAAAATATATTGTCAGTGAGGGGTGGGTGGGTGGGGAGGGGATACGGACGCGGGTGCGGTCACGGATCGCGATGCTCGACGAATCGTAATTGCGTTTTCCAACGTAAGTCTGCCGCTCGGCTCTTTGCGGTGGTGGCAAAACCCCGAAGGCGGCCATTTTGTATTTAACGATTTATGGCCGGGAAAATTATTATCTTGTTTACTTCCGACTACCGCGGCGGAGACCAACGTTGGCCATTAAACATGTTGGCACGTAATACCTTTTGGTCTTTGATTGCATTCAACCGTATCAGCCGCCGATTTTATTGCGAATCTGCAGTGGGCTCGCACACTATATTATTTAGGTAAGCGTTTGTGTGTGTGTGTGTGTGTGTGTGTGTGTACGTGGGTAGCGGTGGCTGTACCGTGGTCAAGGTGCCATCCCGTGGTATATACCTTCAAATTTGAAGGTTCGGCCGTTCGGCGTCCGACCGCGGCTAGTAATAGTCGTGTGACGAGAGTAGACCTATAATGTTATGAATGTTATGATATTGATAACAAGAATATTGTATAAAGTTAAATGTTATGGTTTTTTCGCTTTTTAGTGTCAAGACTTTTGAAATATGTAAGTATACGTAATATCGCGTATGCCTATTACATGTATTTTCTGCAGTACAGCTTGATTCTTTAATAATTTTGTGCCGAGCATCAAGATTTTCGTGGAAGAAATTGGAATGTATCGATACGCATCGGATCAGTTTTTACAGTTCAAGAAGTTAAACATCGTACAGTATACCAGCGATACTTGCAGTAAGTACCTTATAGTTATTATTCGTTATTCGTTGTTTTATATGACATAATACGTTCATACGAGTATATAATAAAGTCTCGTACAACCTTTATAGACTGCCGATATCTATATTATGTTTAACATATTTTAATCGATGCATGTTACTGCTACAACTTTCGTTATAATTAATTAATCTTATCAAACTGCCGACCGCAGGTCCATCGTAAACGGTAAACGCGTCGTTTGTACATCTCGGTTTTCGGTCAAGGAGGCTTGGATTATAATATAATAATATAGTGATACTACTAATACTAGACCGTATTATATATTAAATATATAATATAACATCGAACGATGGATGTATTATACCCACCCGGCACCCATACATTATAAGTACTGGCAGCAATGTTAAATAATAATATTATAATACTGGTCGATCCGAATTTGGCGTTAATAAACTTTGGACTGGGATTACGGTTACCGTGGTTATTGTTTGTAATCTCCCCGCCACTGATTTCGGATGACCCTGAAATGCACGCGAATATAATAAATTGTAATGTGTACTCGACGGATCGCCGCACGAGACTAACACACACAAAATGAACAAACACGCGGTGTCCACCAATCGCTCGCCGTAATAATATTACGAGTATTAATAATAATTAGTATCTATGATGATCAACGATATCAATATCGCGACGAGCACGTCATGACGACAACGTATCGATTTTAATATCAACGAAAATCATATCGATGAGTTTGATCTCGCGGGTTTCGTGAATTGAAAAATATTATATGAACACGCGACTTCGATAATTGGGAACAATAATTTATTTAACTCGATACCTACTTGAAACGTATCCAGGAAATACACGGGGACCAAAAATTACTATACTGGCCAACATAATATAATTGCTTTAAAGTTTTTGCTGAGAATATATTTTATGAAATATTTTGAAACATGGACATTTTTTCATTGTTGTTTTCCATGTACCTACGTCCTACATAGTAAGTTATCGGTATTAGTTTATGTCGTTTATGATGATATGACATCAAAAATCGTGTAATCAACTATATCTTAACTATTATTTTGTTGATCGTCACTAATTAGATCCGCAGCACACAGCATAATATTATAATCAGTGCTCAAATTGAGGGGTCCGCAGGGAGACGGAGCTCTTCTACTAATTTTTTTTTTGATTACCCCTACTTTTTTTTTTACTCAGATGGGGAAACGGTTCAAACTAATGCCAAAAATAATTTTTAGAAAATTTGGAATAGATTTAAATTGTTGTCAACTTACCTAATGAATTTTGTATTCAACAAATATTTTTCTTTAGTCTCCTTTATGATTTAGACTACTTAATACCTAATGCTATTTTTTTTAATTATTATTAGTTTATATTATATCACTCTTGGTCTTTGTCTATTTTAGTAGTGCACAGATATATGTACAATAAACTATCACTGGTAATTATAATGTTTTCATTACCAACTAAAACACATGTAAGTATTATTGCTATCAAAATGGGAATAATAAAAATAACTTTTCCGAGTGAACGAATGATAAGTAATTTATTAGGAGAAATGTTGCAAAATAAGGTGAGTTTAAAACATAAATCCATATATAATTTGTTTAACCTCCACGAGTCTGTATAAAATAATTTTGAACTTGGAACTCAGTTTTTAAAATGTATTGAGCTCCTCTACTTAAGAATTCGCAATTCGAGCACTGGTTATGATGTAAGTATTGACCGATATAATTATGTCTAAATATTATTTAACGAATGCGACCGCCAGACGGATCAGAGAGTGGCACACGGGCGTATATTATTATTATATAAAAAGAGTGTAGTCGAGCGATATGACTAAAAAAAATATTACTATATCATGCTCGGGACAAGTGTTCGGACGGGATTTTTGCGCTGATGTGTCAATGTCGTCTAAATTTAGTCGATTTACATACATACCGGCTGTGTCAATATAGTTTGGACGTGTAGTATTATTTAGAAAAGTAGCCAAACTACGGATTGACATGCATAAACTAAGTATGTTTAGTATAAGAATATAAAATACCTACTGGCTTTTACGCTGGAAATATTACATTATAATCGACATTTGAATTTCGCTAAATTTGAATTTAAATACCAATAATCTAGCTACGTACTATATGATATCATACACATTTTCTAGTTTTATTATTCACTTTGACTTTTTTTCATTTTGTCAAAAAAATAAAATGAATAAATATTAATATTGCGATTAGTGTGCTCAATTATTTATCTATTCATTACCATTTTTTATTACATGAAAAGTTTAAATGTTTTTTCTTCAATCTGATAGATATTACGCCCAGATTCATTTTAAATATTTTAAACTAATATACAACCTATAGTGAAATGTATACTTGTTATATAATGTGGTGTAATGTCAGAGTTATTACTTTTTTTTTTTTTATTAATTTAAGCCGCAACAACTAAGGTTATTGGCATGTTGTACAATGTAAAGATTAACTTATGTGCTAGAGGGAATTATACATATTAAATACAATGATAGTTATTTACATATAGGTTAAAAGTTAAAGTATGTGAATATAACATATAAAATACAAATATCAGATGAGGTTATACAGTTTAGTAATTCTAGTTATTATTTTATCAGTCATTATTTTAGTATAATATTATTATTATCGTCCGAGTAACTATAATATAGTTCCATAATGAAATTTAAATTCTCAGACTTAAGATCGTTTAAACGGGCATATAAAATATTGTTTTTAAATTATAAATTAAAAGGCATATTAAAAGTTTACTTTTTAATTTAGCTCTTTTAAAATCACTTAAAGCATATATTTTAAATTAGTGTTTGTTTTTAATTTCTAAGAAAGCTTTATTTACTCGAATCAATTTAATTTATTTATTGTTTTTGTTTGCTACAAGATGAAGTTTGCAAAATATAACTAAACTATATTCTAATATTATAAACTTGAAAAATTTCATTATGCATTAAAGCCATATAAGATATAATACGGCCGTGTAAGGTCGATCGAATTTTAATTTTACAAAGTATACCGAACACGGTCAGCTGATCGATATTTCATTGTAAATCGTGTATGTATGTATATAATACACTTGGCTTTTACACACACAGACACACACACACCTCGTAGTAGGCGTTGAGCGATATGGGTAGAACGAATAATATTATATGGAGGCATTAAGGTATTTTCTATAGGCGTATATCAAATCCTCCTCCACCGCCACCTGTCCGCCGCCGGTCACACGACCGTCCGTCAACGCGGTGACGACGACGGCGGCGACGGCGACAAGGGAAAATAAACAGAACGAAAAACCTTCTGACGTCATTTAACTTGCGAATCAAGGACTGCGCCTAACTAATTGATTGCCCTCAATGATTAATGGGTTATGGTAATTAACGAAGTTTTACCGCCGTAAAAGCGGACGCGTTTACCAACTTTATAGTCAGCCGAGCGTCCGGGTCGAGGGGCAGAGCGAAACGACTTATACGCCGCCGCGGGGAGGGGAGATTATGTGGCTGGGGTGCTGTGGGGCAAGCCATTCGGAAACTATAATGTTGTCCGTGAACCAGCTCGCTATACCTTAAAATTTCGTAATAACAATAACAATATTATGTAATATTAGAATATGTTTATTATATTATCGCCGAGAGAACCGTTTTGCACGTGCGTAGATTAGGAGAACATTTTATTATAGTAATATACAATATTTTATTTAAGCCTCTGAGGCAGCAGACATACTCAGGGAGTAAGTGTCCGAGACCCGATACCTGCAATGTTATTATTGAGCTTATACTTATAGATATAATTATGTCATTACGTTATTATTTGCGATTGTCATAATAATGATGTGTAATATAGTCGACTGTGCCTACCCTCTACAACTATTGTTTTACGACACACACGAAATTACTCTTTTTTTTTTTTTGAAAAATACGAAATGTATTTAAAACACACTATACATAACACAGGTAGCAACAGTGTTTTATATACTCGGGATTTTCGTCGTCGTTGTTGCAGCAGTTTGTTCCACGACGACGAGAATGAAACGTTTTGTTATCACCGTCTCGTCGTGTCGTAATGGTCTCGCCGAAAATTAATTACAAAAGCACTGCACCGCTGCTTGAATGCACTCGGGGGAAGGCGTGGGGCACCGAGTCGAATTGTCCTATTATATATGGGCACTCGTTTCCATCTGCGGTATAATACGAAAGGATTAAGCGCGGAACACGATATGTCTATACTACTGTACTTTTTTTACACCACGTGACTCGAGACTTATTTGAAATCGATCGATCGACATCAAACGATCTCGGTCGAAGGTTTGCACATCCATGTTTACGGGTAATGTTATGCCCGCAGAGTGCGTGGTGTTCTATAGAAATATAGAAGTATAATATGTCGTGTATTACACGTATCTATAACAGCTGATAACGTCATATAACTTTCATAATATAATATACCTATTAGTAATTTATTAATATTACAACGTCGTACCGAACGCGTTCATATAATCGCTGGGTAACAAAATGTCTACACGGTACAGTGAAACCTCTAAAACACTGGACACTCTCGGTCACTAAAATTGTGTCCTCTATTTAGAGACTTCATAAAGTTTGTAGGTTTGAAAAAAATATTATTTCTATTCTAAAAAAACGTGGCTATTTAGGAATGTCCGTTATGGGAGGGGTTTCACTGCGTATACATTATATTCGTATACATAGGACGGGTTTTTATACACACAACCATTGTGAGTTATATTTGAAATAGATCGATTGATGTACATTGTACATTGGACGCGTATAACGATCTTTGCACCGCGATTTCTGTCGAAGGTGGTTTGTGCATCTATATCTAAGCGTAATATTATGTCCCCAGTGTGTGTGTGATGTTCAATAAAAATATAGAATTATACGTCATAACTCGTATAGATAACGTCATGTTTATATCATATTATTTTAATGACGAGTTCACGTCATATAT